ATTAGTTGTTGCTTGAAACTGAAGCAGAACCAAATTTTAGAGCATTCAAATTTCGCCCCATAAACAGCTTAAGATCTTAGTTTGTAACTTTCAACTCCTGCAAAATTACCTGAATTAACTCTTCTTGCAATTTATTTTTGCGCTCTTATTAGCGGCTTGTTTTACTTGCGCTTTGCGCGCGCTCTGCGAAATTCGGGAACAGTTTATATTCAACTTTGATTATTTAACAATTATTCACCGAAGTGGAGGTGAACAGTGGTGGATCGCGGCGAGGTAAATATCCACCGCTTTCACCGTCACTGAGGTGAATAATTGTTTTAGTATATACCACCCAAGCTGAATAATCAGCGGACCAAAACACTACTCTCGGTACCCAAAGCGACACTCGAAGCCATTTTGTTTCTCTTCGGTTGCTCGGAGGTGAATAATACTTTACTAATCACCTCCGAGTGAGCGCGCGGAAAGTACAAAAAGGTCTCAGAGCACGCGCGAGTCGAAATGTTGTGTTGCAAACACCAATAAGTTAGTGTTGTTGGTATTCTTTTAAAACTTTGAATAGATTTTAATGAACGTGTATTCACGCAGAAGTACTGTTTTTTTTTAGAAAAAAGTCACACCTTTGACAAACAAAATAAAAACATAGCGCGCGCGCTCTACGAAGACTAGAAAAAAATGGCTGTAATCGGTTTCTTTTAACGCCAACAAAAAAAAAAGTTGAAGGCCATAGCGGTTGCAAAGAGTTACCACCCCGATTGTTTCGTGCAATCGAAAGCAACCTAAAATCACTCAAAGGGATATCAACAATAACGTTCTGTTTAACAGAACTTAAGCTTATCAAGTAATTTACAATTTCCTTTCCGTTGTATTTTTTTTCTCTTCTCGCTATACAGACTATTCAACCACGAATCCGCCGCGCGCAGTTTTATGAAACAAACGACTTACTTTGTTACGTGTCGCGCGCAACGCAAAACCTTTTATGAAACAGCAAATAGTGCACGCGCGCTATGATTATCTTGCTCGTTGGTAGGTAGTGATTTTTCTCCTTAAAGCTGAAGTTTCAAGGAAAGGTTTAAGTTAGTATCAACTGTTGGTGCTGGTCAAAAGGAGCGCGGCCTCTGGTGATTAGTAAAGTATTATTCACCTCCAAGCAACCGAAGAGAAACAAAATGGCTTCGAGTGTCGCTTTGGGTACCGAGAGTTTGGAGGGACAGACCCCAATCCCTTGCTCGTTTAGAACATGGCTAATTAGGAACTTATGTTGTGGAGGTGAGGTGAGCACAAATCGAATCTGTAATGGTTAAACTTTTTTCCTCTTGCCAGTTTTTCCTTATAGTGAATACATCTCAGCATGAGTCAGGATTGCAATCACCGTTGGAACTGTTTTCAGCTCTGGACATTTTGCAGTTTGATAACAGAAATATTTCAGAGATTACCACGTAAACAACATTGAGCAGACTCACGGGCTGTGAAGTTCATAGGCTTCTGTTACATCTTTTGCTTCTATATATGCACTACTTACGTTCATAAACATCTTCCCTTGTCTCCCAAATGGTCCCTTCGCCAAAACACGTTACAGTTAAAAAGAAGAAAACTGCTGGACTCCGAGAAAAGTTCTTCATGATTGGCGCGATTCGCGTTTCGTGTACGATCGACGACGTGTGTGACCCTTAAAATGAACCGCCTAAGTCGAGATTTGTTTTGCGTCTGAAAAGAAGCGATTCATTTGACATTTAAATCATTGCTCTGAATAACTTGACGATTGATCTTTTCTTTTCGATATCGTATATCGTGTTTCCATCAAAAAGAGGGATCGATTGCAAAAGATTGACTTGAACTTTCATGAAAAGAGAAAACAAAATAAAGGGTGCAACGGTTGAAGGGGATTGAAACGGGACTGACGAAGGAAATTTTTGTGCTTTCCAAGTGAAAGCCTAGAATATTTAAGAACGGTAACAGTAATGGTAACGTTTTAGTTTGTTTTAGTTTAGCAGAATCTGGTGGCCTACCTGATTTGGTGCAAACATCTGCGCAAAAAAGTGTTATTTGTCCTTTATGTATGGGCCATTTTACCTCTTTGGCTCTGATCCACACAACTAAACATTATGGGTCGGTTAAACCGTCACGCGGAAAAGCTTTTCCCTATGATGCTACTTACCTATTTACAGAGAATGTAGACTGAATAGAAACTTTGTTAGCATTGGATTTTGATTATGATAACATCAGATGTGTAAAGATTAGATGCGCCTGCACTACTTGATAAGCACTTCGCATTCGAAGCGCTTGGCATTTGTCCTGAGGAAAAAAAAACTGAAACAAAAAACCCACAGATGCGTTGGTGTCGGGTATCGCCAGGTCACTATACCCAATAGTTTTTGAAATGGCTTCGTTTTCCTTGCCTTCGTTTGTTTGTTTTATTTTTTGCCTTCGGTCTAGAACAACAAGAACAGCGTTATACCACTTTTGCAGGCTGTAAAATTAAACACCGTTTATTGATATTTCTTCAAATCAATAAGAGGTCAAATGACCATCTGTGTAGATACTAGTACTCCTCTGGACCTCTCACATTGTCGTACATCCTTCCTTAGTTCTCACTTTGTTCTGATCTGCAGTTTGTCACCATGATTATATTTGGCGTCATTGTCGGTGCTATTTATTATCAACTAAAGAAAGACGAGCACGGAATACAAAACAGGTTTGTGTTTAATCAGCACTTTTATTTCTTATCCTTTCTATAATTCTCTTTCCATTTTCGCTTACGTTCGTGTTGTTTTAGTCTGTTGGTTTAATGAAGAAAAAAATGTCCTCCACTTTCAGAGTACCTTGCATTAGGCCAGTTGACGTTTACCACATTTCTCGGATTTTTGCTTGAACATTGTATTGCTTTGGCACGTGAGAAAATATAATTGTTAGCCTACGTAGCAAGCGTTTCTGTGGGGTTCGGGAGCAAAGAATTACAGCGCGAAACGCTTGCTACGCAGGCTATATAATTGTGCTTACTTGCAGCCAAAGTAACTTTAAAGAGCGGAGGAGGCGTGGGAGGGCGGTGGGGGGGGGGGGGGGGGGGGGGGGGGGGGTTTTTTGGGGGG